GGCAGCTGCTGGCCAGGAGCCCAGCTCTGAACACAGAAATAACGATAGCATGGTATGATATTGCTACCCTTACTTCTGCACTGCTTTCTTCAGAGCTGGGCCATCAGCCAGCAGCCTCCACTCTTCAGCCACCCAGCTCTGAAGGCAGCAGCACAGAAGTAAGGGTGGCATGGTATGAATTGGCACCCCTACTTCTGCGCTGCTTTCTTCAGAGCTGGGCCATCAGCCAGCAGCCTCCACTCTTCAGCCACCCAGCTCTGAAGGCAGCAGCACAGAAGTAAGGGTGGCATGGTATGAATTGGCACCCCTACTTCTGCGCTGCTGCTGCCAGGGCGCTGCCTTCAGAGCTAGGCACCTGACCAGCAGCCGCTGCCATCCAGAAGAAGGCAGCACAGAAGTAAGGGTGGCAATACTGCGACCCCCCCTACAATAACCTTGTAACCCCCTCACAACTCCCTTTTGGGTCAGGACTCCTACAGTTACAACACTGGGAAATTTCAGATTTAAATACACCTGTACCCTGATATAACGCAGTCCCCAGGAGCCAAAAAATCTCTCTGCTTTATAGGTGAGACCACGTTATATCGGGTATGGTCCAGTACGGCATGCCAGATAGGACCAGCTTCCCGGGCGGTGATTTAAAGGGCCTGGTGCTCCAGTCGTGGTGGGGAAACCAGGCCCTTTAAATCACCACTGGAGCTCCAGCAGTGGGGTTCAGGCAGGGACTTAAAGGGCCCAGGGCTCCCCGCAGTGGCCAGAGCCTCTGGCTCTTTAAATCACCGCCCGAGCCCGGCTGCCAGAGATTTAAAGGGCCCAGGGCTCCAGCCGCTGCGGGGAGCCCCGGGCCCTTTAAATCACCTCTGGAGCTCTGGCAGCGGGGCTCGGGCGGCACTTTAAAGGGCTCCCCGCAGCATCTGGAGCCTCTGGCCCTTTAAATCCCCACCCGGGCCCGGCTGCCAGAGCCCCTTACACTTAGATCTACTCCTCCTTAGATACTTTAAGGCTAAAGTTTAATACTCTGGGTGGGGATTAAAATAATCTTGGTGGAACACAGAACGATACGAAAACACTAGGGGCTGTCCTCTCACAGCTGTCAGTGCGAAAAGAAACGTTGGGTTGGAGCAGTGGTTCCCAAACTGGGGTTTAGGAACCCCTGTGTGTTCATGAAATGTTACAGGGGGTTCTCAGGAAAAAATTCCCTAATGGCAGACAGAGCTGTCCCTAGGAATCCTGGGCAGCCTAGGGCCAGCAGCCCGGAGCCCCTGGACTTCCAAGACCTAAGCTTGCTTTGAGCTGCTTATCTATCACACTGAGGAGATTTAAACTTCAAGACTTCTTATCAGAAATGGAAGTGGATATTTTTTGCCGTTTTTAAAATGAAATAGGCAGCTAGTATTGTTTTTAAAATTATTATGAAGAACAAGTTTAAGCTTTGTTGTAATGTAATGTTTGCCTGGACTGCTCAAGACCCGAATGCTTGTGTAGGAGGAACTCTGTGTTGGCTTCTTAAATACCTTCATGCTGTTTCATATCTGATATTCCTTGATGAAACATAGGAGCCTTGTCTTATAACAAGCTTATTCAAAGTGATACAAGCTACGAAAGTGAGTGTTGCCATTTTCATAATGTAATAAAAATACTGTAATGATAAATACTTGGTAGTAGTATGTCATATAAAACAAATTTTATATTTCCAAGATCACTGCTTTTATAATTTATACTCGGGTAAAGAAGAAAATCCCTGGAAATATTCATTCTTAGGAGGGGGTTGGCAAGACTTGACATTTTAGTGAAAGGTTTAGGAACCACTGGGCTGGAGGACTGGGCGAGCGGCTCTGTAAAGCCAGTAACACCCCCGTGAATCTGTCCAGGGTGCTGAAATCTCCCCAGCTCCTGTTCAGACTCCCCTGGCCACTCCTACCCCCGTCCGCGTGTCCGGCCATCTCTCCCGTTCGCAACACCCCCAGGGGCTGCGGCATCAAGCCGGGGAAGATCGCGCTGGTGGGAACCATTCCCGGCTGCCGGGGGTAACGCAGCTCTGCCCCCACTGACTCACCTCAGCAGCGCCTGTGAGGAGGGGGTGAGGCGGAAGCGGGGCGGCCCAGCCTCGCAGCTCCTCCCCCGGCCAGGCCGGCAGCGCCACCCATCGCCTCGGCCCCGGAGCCGGAGGGCGCTCGCTCGCTCGCTCAGGGGGACTGGCTCGCCGGTGTCGCGGGCTGGGCGTGGGGCTGCAGGCAGCGGCGGCGGGATGGACGCGGATTACCCCGCCTTCGAGACCCCGCTCTGCGGCGAGCTCAAGCGCTTCTGCCGCACGGTCAAGGAGACCTACAAGGAGATCAGAGAGGACCTGACCCCGTACAAGGATGATCGCTACTACCGGTAAGGGCTGGAGGGCGGCCAGCGCTGCGCCCACCCCCCGCAGGGAAGCACGGGGGGTGGGGTGGGCTCCGGGGGCGGCTAGGCTCTTACAGAGCTGCTTTGCAGCTGCAGCCTCCCGGGGGCGGGGAGTGTTTGTTCTGCTTAGCGGGGGAACCCGAAAGCAATCCCAAATTGCCTTCAGCTGATTAAATACGTGCACGCCCCCCGCCAGCTGGCCTGCCCGGGAGCGGCCTGTAAGGACGTTTGCAGGCGGCTTGGCTAGGAGGAGAGGGGCTTTTTGGAGCGCCAGGCTCTACCATGGCTGTGTTAAGGAAGGAAGGTTGCCGGGCCTCTGCTGCCTCATCTGTGCTGGATGATGTTTAGTCAGGAATCATGGCGGCGGCAACCTCCTAGGCTAGATTGCTTAGTGGCTGTTTGGTCCGGACAGCTGAAAGAGAAAAGGCTATTTTAAATAGGACACTGGAGAGTTGGGAGGGGTTTGCAAAAAGGCTCATCCTCTTGCAATTCCATAGAGTGAATAGGCTGATAGGAAAGGTGTTGTCTCTCCGGGATCTCTCTGGTTCTACTGTATATGAGTTCCTTCTACCTTCCTTTCAAAAAGATCCCAGGCTATTTTATTTCCTTGATTACTGTGGAATAATTTATTTTCCATGACATGGAAACACCAGCTAAGGACCTTTGGTGATTGTGGGAGGAAAACCTAGGTCAGATTTTTTCACTGAGTCCAAAACAAATTAATCATCCCCTAATATGGAACCATCTGCAGTAAGAGTCTATCAACCAGAACCACCTAGAATTGGCTTTTGTTTAAAACTACTAATGCTGTAATCTCACTAATAAAACCTAGACATAATTTCCATAACTCAGAAAGATGGATCCAAGCCTCCCAGGATCTTGACCACTCAGGACAATATAAAAGAAGTTCCCTACTATTGTGAACTAGTCTATCTCTCCTTGAAAAGTGCTTTCTAGGAAAACCTCTGTACAGAAGTTCCATCACCTGCTTCTCTGCTTTAAGTAGTATAAACTATTATATAATAGCTCTTTCTAGCCTATGCTTATCCCTATTGTATCTGAGCACAGTATGTGACTACATCCATTTAAATATTTGTACACAATGCACCAGATCCTCAGCTTGGGGTAAATCAGCATGGATCCTTTGACTTCAGTGGTACTGCACCCATTTTCACCAGCCAAGGATCTGGCCCATTATATTTAAATTGTCACTACATCCACAGCAGCCAGAGCTGTTGAAAGCAGTACCAATGTCTGATAACTTGGCACCATCGATGTATCCTGGCAGGATTTAATATAGCTGCATTTTTCCCCAACAAAACAGTGGCTCGTTGTTCCAAAGTCCGGTTGTGGGAAATCATTAGAAATGGGGCAGAGGAAGGGGGGGGGCAAACATGTCAGCACTATAATTGTTA